TCTTCTGTTCTGTGAAATTGCAACCGGCAGGGAGGGCAGGACTCCCTGGAGTCTATTGAGCATGCTAATAGTTGTTCCATTTTGAAAACTGGTGAGAGGGATGATTCCTTGGGAGTGTGCACACAAACGTGGTGAAGAAGAATGGAAGGACTCCAGTGACAGGGGATTCCTGAGTCAGGGGATTATTCAGGCATTTCTGTGCCATTAAAAGTAACTGCAGGATTGGGAGTTGCCTCTCTACTGTTGTGTCAAGAATGTCACAGAGAAGCAGCAGAACCATCCTTCTGTGGAAGGGAGAATTAGTCAGAAGTGTGGTCCACACTTGTACCAACAGCATAGGCAGGAAAAGGGTTGAGGTTTTGAAACCAATTCCCTTCCCAATTGCCTGAAATCTAAGAAGCAGAACTTCCAGAGCATAATCTCAGGATTACTTTGGGTAGCATGGTGGCTCCGTGGTTAGCACTGCTGCCTCACAGCACCAGGGACTGGGGTTTGATTCCACCCTCAGGCTATTGTCTGTGTGGAGTGTGCCCATTCTCCCCGTGTCTACATGGGTTTCTGCTGGGTGCTCCGGTTTCCTCCCAGTCACGCGCAGGTTAGGTGGATTGGCCATGCTAAATTGCTCCTAGAGTCCAGGGACGCAGAGGCTACATGGATAAGCCATGGGAAACACGGGGATAGGGTAGGGGTCTGGGTGGAATGCTCTTCAGAAGGTTGGTTCGACTCAATGGGCCAAGTGGCCTCTTTCAGCACTGTAAGGATTCTATGATTTTTTATGATACTCCCAGTGCCACCAACTTACGGGAATAAGACCAGCAGGATTGATCAATTAAAGATGTGGTTGGAGAACTGGTATAGGTGGGAGGGCATCAGATTTCTGAGCGTTTTGGATCAATTTTGGGGCGGACGTGATCTGTATCAATAGGAGGGATGACATCTTAACAGGGCTCAGACAGATATCTCTGCAATGGGATTTAGTGCTGTTGGCGTGGGTTTAAACTAGCTTGTCAGGGGACTAGGAATCTGAGGGGTAACCCAAATAGGAAGAAAGCAACTTTGTTAATAGGAAGTCAAAAAGCTGGTTGGAAAATTGGATGGCAGGACAAACAAAGTCTAGCATCAAGAAATGGTAAGGTCCTGGGGAGTATTGCTAAACAAAGAGACCTTTGAGTGCAGGTACATTGTTTCTTGAAATTGGAATCCCAGGCAGACAGGATAGTGAAGGTGGCGTTTGATGCGCTTGCCTTTATTGGTCAGTGCATTGAGTCTAGGAGTTGGCAGGTCATGTTGCGAATGTACGGGATATTGGTTAGGTCACTTTTGGAATACTGCATTCAATTCTGGACTCCCTGTTATGGGAAGGATGTTGTGAAACTTGAAAAGGGTGCAGAAAAGATTTACAAGGATGTTGCCAGAGTTGGAGTGTTTGACCTACAGGGACAGGCTGAATAGGCTGGAGCTATTTTCCCTGTAGCATTAGAGGCTGAGGGGTGACCTTATAAAGGTTTCTAAAATCATGAGGGGCATGGATAGGGTGAATAGCCAAGGTCTTTTCCTCAAGGTAGGGGAGTCCAAAATTAGAGGGCATAGGTTTAAGGTGACAGGGGAAAGATTTAAAAGGGACTTAAGACGCAACTTTTTCATGCAGAGGATGGTGCATGAATGGAATGAACTGCCAGAGGAAGTGGTGGAGGCTGGTATAATTACATCATTTAAAAGGCATCTTGGTAGGTATATGAATAGGAAAGGTTGAGAGGGATATGGGCCAAATGGGACTAGATTAATTTAGGATATCTGGTCGGCAGAATGATGTCAAAAGAACAAAATTAAGGGCTTTCTACCTGAATGCATGCAGCTTTCATAACAAGGTAGATGATCTAAAGGTACAAAAAGGTAAATGCATGTGAGGTAATTGCAATTACAAAACCATGGCTGCATGGTGACCGGGGCTGGGAATTGAATATTCAACAGTGAAAAAGTGGCAGAGAAGAACTTATTATAATGGGATGGGATTAGTAAGGGAAGATCTCAGATCAGAACAACAACCTGTGAGTCTGTTCGGGTGGAACTATGAAATAGCAAAGGGCATAGACAATGAAGTTATTTATAGACTACCAAATAATAGTGATAGTGTAGGGCATTATATTAGTTAGGAGATGGACAACACGATAATCACGGGTGAATTTTATCTACATACAGACTGGGTAAACCAGCCGAGCGCTAAAGCTGACAGGACAACTTTCTGGACGAGTTTTTGTTACAGATGGCTTTCTAAATCTGAATGTCGAGCAGCCGACTAGAGGACAAACTATTTTAGATCTATTATGTAACGATAAAAAACTAATTAATAATCTTGCAGTTTAAAAAAAAATCCTTAAGGGATGAGTGATCACAATAGGATAGAATTTTCATTACATTTGAAAGGAAGGGAGCTCAATCTGAAGCAAGGGCATTAAAATTTGAATAAGGGAAAATATGAAGGTAAGAGGCACAAATTGGCTGAGGTGGTTTGGGAGATGGAGCACAATGATGGTTCACTAGATTTGTTACCAAGATGATGGAACTGTCCTATGAAGAGGGATTGGGCAGACTGTTGCTGTATTCTCCACAGTTTTGAAGAACGAGACTGAAACCTATAAATTATTTAAATGGATAGATAGGATTGATACAGGGTGAGATGTTTACCCTGGTTAGGGAGTCAAGGACCGGGGCATAATTTAAAAATTAGGGGGATACCACTTGGGATTGAGATGAAAGGAATTATTTTTACTCAAAGGGTTATAGACATTTGGACTTCTTTACCACTGAGAGCTGTGGGAGCTTAGTCTTTGAATATGTTTAAGGTAGACATTGAGTCTTTTTTTCTTGATTGATTGATATCTGATTCCCAGAGACAAAAAGAGTTATGGAGATGGAATAGGTTAAAGGCATTGAAGTGTTCGAAAGTCTATGATTGTATTGAATAGTGGACCAGGTTTGATGGGCTGAAAGGCCTACTCCTGTTCTAATGGTCTTTTAAAGGATTAGAAACTCAATTTTCTTTTCAGCAGTGGGTCAAAATAGCATGTCCAAGAAATTATACAATTTAAGCTAAATGATTAGGTAAGCTACCTGGTGATATACCTGCTGACGTGGTTTACCATGTTGAGCTTTTATGGTGTACAGGAAGAGAGGCTAGAGGCTAGAAGCAGATCGAGTTCAGAAGAAAATGTCCATAACAGCAGATTGGCAGTTGTGTTTTGGTAGATCAGGCCATCAGAACTGGAAAGAAATCTTAAGCTGTTTTAGCAGTCCAAGTAGACAAGACTTGTAAAAGCCCTGAAGTTGTCTTATAGTTCTGTGGAGCAAGGTCAGGGAATTAGCCTATTTATGGAAATCTTGATGAAAGACAGTCATGGTGAGAGTCACTTCTGGTGAATTTCACTGAAAGGAAATGCCAGCAATTTCATCAGTTGAGTAAGAAATTAAACAGTGAAGATAGGACTGCTTCTTCATTGGGGTTGAGCTCCTGTACAAGATATTGCTGGGATAAGTGGCTGATTCATTTTGCCGTTTGTCATAAGAGTTCCAAATTGACTTGTTTTTGTAGTTTTTACCTTGTCTTGTAGAATAAACTTAAATTATTTTGTTTAAAGGACATTGGCAGTCTCTTTTTCTCACTCCTTCATGGGATATGGGATTCTCTGGTTGGCATAGCATTTATTGCCCATCCCTAGTTGCCCTGAGAAGGTGCTGGTGAGCTGCCTTTCTGAACTGCTGCAGTCCAGCCGACGTTATTTGGGTGGCAGTTCCAGGATTTTGACCCAGCGCCAGTGAAGCAACGGAGATGCATTTCCAACTCAGAACAGTATGTTCAGTGACTAACCAAAATGGTAACGAAATCACATTCAAAACAAAAAGGAGCCAGGTTTCAGTCTGGAATCTGACTTGACCAGTCTTACCATCAGCTGGATCATGTTAGTGTTTAAACAGGTAGATCTCCAGAACATAGCTTGGCCTAGTCTGGCAGACTTGCATCCCAGGGACCATGTCACAAGAAGGGAAGGGAGGTACAGTAAAACATTTTTCTGAAGAAGGGTCTCGACCTGAAACGTCAGCTTTTCTGCTCCTCTGATGCTGCCTGGCCTGCTGTGTTCCTCCAGCTCCACACCTTGTTATCGGCAGTTCCTACTATCTCACAGTAAAAACATTTGCTGCTCTAGGCGACAGTGTAGAGGGTACATTTCCACACTGACCATTCCTGCCCCGCCTGTTTGGATTGATAAAGCGACTGAGCATCACATGCCAAGCAAAACCTGTAACCCCACTCCCTCCCCGTGGATCTGGCTGTCTGATCCCCAGAATAATAAAGGCTGGAAACGCCCCGTCGGCCAGGCAGCGTCACTGGGGAAAGCACTTCACGTTTCAGGCATAAGGAATCTTCCTCGGCACCGGAATCTCGGTGGATCCTTCTTCCTGCTAACCTGTGTGCGCTGGGAGTGTCGTTGTTCCAAGTCTCCCGAGCACCTTGATGAATGTTTTGTTTTTACAAAGAATGTGCCCAGGTCAGCCCGGAATGAAAGAAGGATTAATTCACATTGTCACCCACGACATTCAGAGTAACAGTCACTGCCACCTGTGCTATACCAGGAAACTGGGACACGGGCCTGTTTGAATGGTATTCAACGCTATGACTGGTGCGCGAGTGTCTCTTTAAAATTGAACGTAGTATACATTTTTTTTAAAAAAGGAAGATTTTCCATGTTTTTCAAAACTCCAAGATGCAATATGCCAGACCTAAACTCTCAGCCCTGGACCTCTGCTGTGTTCAGAGGGAAGTCAGGTGAGGGTTCCTGAAATCTGAAATGAAGTAAGTTCCCTTAAATTCCAATGAAAAGGTTTTTTTAAAAAAGCGCCCCCCCCAATCTTGTAATAGAATCAAAATCTTTTTCTCTGTCACAGTATTTGTAACTTTACCAACTCTACAAAACATTGTCTGGTGTATCAACTGAAAGACTTACCTGGTCGGTGTCGGTGTAATGATTGATTCCAGGTTTCCCGAATGCAATAATCGAACTACAACCACTTGCAGGAAGGGTCTGTAATGCAATACGTTCAGCCCCTAGGCTGACACAAGTCTTCAGACTGGCTACCTGTTTATTTGATTTTTTTTATTCACACACTTAGCTTCCCGGACAGATCTCCTCCAGGGCCAATTGCAACTGGGAGAAGGCGTGGTCTTGCAAACAACAAGTTTTTTGAGATAATAATTTTTCGAGGACACCGCCCTTCACGACTGTCAGCCCTCTTCATCGTTTGGCTGCAATTTTGAGTTCAGGGGCGAATTACTGTTTCTAGCTGAGTGGCGCGTCATTTATAAGTTTTAAACTGTTGTACAAAAGGAGCGGGGGTGGTGTGAGAGAGAAAAAAATCGTTTTTCACACAGCGAATAGTTAGGGTATGGAATGCACTGGAAATGTAATGGAGACAAGTCCGATTACATTCATAGAGACCCTTCGGTCCAACTCGTCCATGCCAACCCGGTACCCTAAATTAACCCAGTTCCATTTGTTAGCATTGGCCCATATCCCTCTAAACCATTCCCTTTTTGAACCCATCCAGATGCCTTTTGAATGTTGTAGTTATACCCTCCTCCACCACTTCCTCTGGCAGCTCATTCCATACCTCTGAGTGGAAAAAGTTGCCCCTTAGGCCCCTTTTAAATCTTTCCCCTCTCACCTTAAACCTATGCCCTCTAGTTTTGGTCTGCCCTCCCCTCGGGAAAAGACCTTGGCTATTTGCCCTGTCCATGCCCCTCATGATTTTATAAATTTGTATAAGGTCACCGCTCAGCCTCTAACGCTCCACAGAAAATAGCCTCAGCCTATTCAGGCTCTCCCTGTAGCTTAAATCTTCCAACTCTGGCAATGTCCAGAGTTGTAAATCTTTTCTGAACCCCTTCAAGTTTCACAACAACTTTCCTTTAGCAGGGAAACCAGGATTTGAGGCATTCAAGAGGGTGTTGGATGGTTATCTGGGTAGAAATGGTGTGGAGGAATGTGGAGGGATATAGAATGCATTGGGAAATTGACTGGTGCAGGCATGATGGGCTGAATGGTCTATTTCTCTGTAACAGTTCTGTGGTTCATCGCTTGATGTTTCTATAATGGCAAGCGCTGTGTTGTATAAAGTCTCATCCAGAGTAATATATTAATCTTTAGCACCTCCTGAAATACTGGAGAGGGTACAATGCAGATACACATTAGAATGACACTGGAGCATTAAGTGTTAAGTCAGGAGCACAGGTTACTTAAAATTGCATTCCTTTGACTTTAGAAGGCAGACCCATACCTAGCTGCTAACATGCACTTGGTCACTGTAAGAGACTTTTAGATAGACCATCAAGTTTTTATCTGTCACACTAGTTTTTTTTCCCTCTTAAAAAGAATGATGGCAACAACATTTATTATGGGCAGAAGCGCATATAGCTTATTGAACTGGCACCCTCGTATAACAGGGTGAATGATCCAGAGGTGACGCTAAGATTGCAGGAGCAGCCATTGATACCCATTGGGCCTTTCCCTGGACATGGAGCCTCTGGGAGGGAAGTTCTCTCACTATCCTGACATCAGGGGGCCATTGACAGACCTCCTGCATGTAGCCGGTGATTTCCATATATGGCTCCACAATGTGACTGCTGTTTTGAACCGCGGATTTGCTGGAGTGTTATCCCAAAACCAATCAGAAATGGAGGAGCAATTAGAATTCAATTGTGGGCAGCAGAGTGGATTTTTCTAAAGGTGTAAGAATTCAAAGGGAACCAGAAACTCGAAGAACACAACAAGAAATTTCAACATAATTCACTTTGCTTTGAGGAACAATGACACATCGCAGTTGACACAGCAGCCAATTTGCTTTGGTTGTGATGAGAAGCTGGAGACACCATTTTGAGCAGAACTCTAAGAACAGTTCTGAGGCTCCCAACAGAGAAAAAAAGTTCTCAACTGAGGGATGGGTAAAGGAACACCAGACGAAGAGCTGCTACCAAGTGCCACAACCTGCACATGAAAGAAACAAGCTTTCAGTCCTTCTTAGAAACTTTTCTGTTCAGTCCCAACCTCAAATTGATTACACAAGCCACTGCAGCTGCTGAATACTGACTTCAGATTTTCAATCCCTTCATCTCAAAAAGAGAAATTTTCAATCATGCTGGGCCCGCAATGATAACATTCCTTGATTACTGTCACAGAGTCGTAGAGATATACAGCACGGAAACAGACCCTTCAGTCCAACTCATTCATGTTGACCAGAAATCCTAAATTAATTTAGTCCCATTTGCCAGCATTTGGCCCATATCCCTCTGAACCCTTCTTATTCATGTTCCCATCCAGATGCCTTTTAAATGTTGTAATTGTGCCAGCCTCCACTACTTCGTCTGGCAGCTCATTCGATACGCAAACCACCATCTGCATGAAAAAGTTGCCTCTTAGGTCCCTTTTAAATCTTTCCCCTGTCACCTTAAAACTATGCCCTCGAGTTTTTGACTCCCCCCACCCCAGGGAAAAAGGCCTTGTCTGTTTACTCTATTCATGGCCCTCATGATTTTATAAACCTTTATAAGGTCACCCCTCAGCGTCTGACACTCCAAGGAAAATAGCCCCAGCCTATTCAGTCTCTCCCTACAGCTCAAATCCTCCAACCCCAGCAACATCCTTGTATATCTTTTCTGCACCCTTTCAAGTTTCACAACATCCTTCCCATAGCAGGGTGACTGGATTGGACACAGTATTCCAAAAGTGGCCTAACCAATGTCCTGTACGGCTACAACATGACCTCCCAATTCCTATCCTCAATGCACTGTCCAATAAAGGCAAGCGTACCAAATGCCTTCTTCACTATCCTATCTACATTCAAAGAACTATGAACCTGCGCTCCAAAGGTCTTTTGGTTCAGCAACCAGGATCTTACCATTAAGTGTATAAGTCCTGCCCTGATTTGCCTTTCCAAAATGCAACACCTCACATTTATCTAAATTGAACTCCATCTGTCACTCCTCGGGCTATTGGCCCACCTTGTACTCTGAAGTAACCTTCTTTTGCTGTCCACCGCACCTGCAATTTTGGTGTCATCTGCAAACTTACTAACCATATGTCCTATGTTCACATAGAAATCATTCATCTTAATAAATGAGTTTTATTTGTACCTACTTTTAAGCTTTATTTTGTTTGCTAACAACTTTATCATTTTTACTTGAATAACCAAACCATGGAAGTAGTTTTTGAAATAATGAATCTTTATCTTGTTTTAGCGAAAAGCTGTGCAGCTGGTTATTCTTAGATCAGAACACTTGAAAAATAAAAGCTTTCGCGGGGTGGGGAGGTGTGCTAAATGAGCCACACATATTCACAGCTTACAAGCCACTCTGTGGATGTGCCTGGTTTGGTTGTGACAACATCCATGCAGAAGTTTAATCTTTTCAAAAAGATGCTCTGTGTTATTTCTCAATACAACTGTTGGTCGTGGCAGATGGAGTTTAATATGGATAAATGCGAAGTATTGCATTTTGGTAAAACAAACAAGGGCAGGACTTCTCCAATTAAAGGTAGGGCCACAGGTAGTGTTGTAGAACAGAGAGACTTAGGGGTTCAGGTACATAATTCTTTGAAGTTTGCATCACATGTAGAAAGTGTGGTTAAGAAGGTGTTTAGCACGCTTGCCTTCATTTTTTTTTATAGGGAGTTGAGATGTTATGTTGTGGTTGTAGAGGACATTAGTGAGGCCACTTCTGGAGTCTTGTCCCCAGTTCTAATTGCTCTGTTAAGAGCAGGATATTATTAAGCTGGAGAGGGTTCAGAAAAGATTTACCAGAATGTTACCAGGAATAGAGAGGCTGGATAGGCTGGAACTTTTTTCACTGGAGTGTAGGAGGTTGAGGGGTGACCTTATAGAAGTTTTTGAAGCCATGAGGGGTGTGGATAAGGTGAACTGCGGGAGTCTTTTCCCTAGGATGAGGGATTTCAAGTCTAGGGGACAAATTTTTAAGACGAGGAGAAAGATTTTAAAAAAGGCATGAGGGGCAACGTTTTTACACAGAGAGCAGTCTGTGTGTGGAATGAACTTCCAGAGGAAGTGGTGGACGCTGGTACAGTTACAACATTTAAAAGACATTTAGATAAGTATGTGAATAAGAAATGTTTGGAGGGACATGGGCCAGGAGCAGGCAGGTTAGACTAGTTTAATTGTGGATTGGTGTAGAGCTGGATGAACACAGCAGGCCAAGCAGCATCAGAGGAGCAGGAAAGCTGACGTTTCAGGTCTGGACCGTTCTTCAGAAATGGGGGAGGGGAAGGGATTCTGAAATAAATAGGGAGAGAGGGGGAGGCGGATGGAAGATGGATAAAGGAGCAGATAGGTGGAGAGGAGACAGACAGGTCAAAGAGGCGGAGATGGAGCCAGTAAAGGTGAGTGTAGGTGGGGAGTTAGGGAGGGGATAGGTCAGTCCAGGGAGGACGGATGGGTCAAGGAAGCGGGATGAGGCTGATAGGTAGGAGGTGGGGGTGGGGCTTGAGGTGGGAGGAGTGGATAGCTGGGAAGAAGGACGAAGAGGTTAGGGAGACGGGGACGAGCTGGGCTGGTTTTGGGATGCGGTAGGGGGAGGGGAGATTTTGAAGCTTGTGAAGTCCACATTGATACCATTGGGTCTGTTTCTGTGTTGTATAACTCTATGACTCTTTCTCAAGCTTTAGCATCTTACTGGGATAGCCAGAACGGAGCAATCAGAAGAAGTTACAGAAGTGGTGGTTGTATGGAATTAGCATAGTACATGGTGAATTATGCATTCTGCATACATTTCAATATCTTTGTTTACTTAAGGTGGGTGTCAGCAATATGAAAAGCGTATTTACCATGTGTTGCTACGCTGGTGAAAAGGTTTCCATTGTGACGATGGGCCTGTACTGTTGACGTTAACACCACTCACACTGGAACAAAGCATTCCACGAACTCTGTGGTAAGCGTCAATTATTACCTCTTCCAATTATTGCCCATACTGATTCATGTTGGCTTACAGGTTCTGCTTGTTTCACTCTGGTGTCTCGCCCATTGTTCCTACAGATGCTGAGGCAACAAGTGGGGAATTTGAGCTCCACCCTCCCACTGGAATTTTATTTCGACAAGATGAAATACCCACTCCATTCCTGTGCAGCAGGGCTGCAGAGCTAGAAGTGCTGCCTTTTGGATTAGATTTTAAACCATCTGCTCTCTTGAATGGACACAAAAAACCCTTCAAGGA